TCAAGAGACTACTATGTATGATGCAACTCATAAGACAGAGCTTCCTGTCTTTTCAGTTCTCAGTCAACGACCCTGTTTTTTTTGAAGCTGTTTCAGGTGCGCATAGCTGAGAATTCTGTTTTTATTTTCTCCTTGGGATTTATTGAGTTTCTTGGATTTGTAGATTCATGTCTTCAAATTTTAAAAATTGTGGTCATTCTGTCTGCAAATAATTTCTGTACATAGTTCTTTCTGGACCTTCTTTTGCACCTACAGTGTGTATATTGACCCATTTAATGGTGTTCTGAAACTCTTGGTTCTGTTCATATTTCTTTTTTTTTTTTCTTTCTGCTTCTCAACCTCAGTAATTTCAGGCATCCTATCATATTCACTGATTTTTCCTTCTGCCTGTTGTTTGCTGTGAAATTTTTAGTTTGTTGTATTTTAAAGTCTAGAATTTTTTTGCTTAGTTTCTTTTTATAATTTGTATCTTTGTTGATATCCTCATTGTGTTCATATGTAATTTTCCTGATTTAATGATCTCTCCGTGTTTAACTTTTTGCACATATTTAAGGCAGGTATTCTAAAATCTTTGCCTAGCATGTCTGATGCCTGTGTTTTACCAAAAAAGATTTTTTCCACTTTATTTTCTTTCTGTTAATGAACAACATATTCCTTTGTCTTTGTATACAGGCCATGTGATTTTTCTTATTGTTGGAAATTAGGCATTTGAAAAACTGTCATTTTTTTCCAGTCTTCGTAGACTGGGTCTTTGCCAGGAAAGTCCTTTACTAATTAGCTTGGTCTTGGTTCTGAGCCTTGAGATTAAGATTTCTCCATTGTGTTTTGAATTATATCTTGCATGGTCCTATGTGTAGATTTTTCTATTTTCACATTACCATTTTTAAATGTTTATTTCTCCCAAAGAGGCTCTCCTCTGGGCCTTTGATGGACTGTTACATTTTTCTACCCAAAATCTCTTGTCCTAGGCGTCTGCTCTTTAGGTTTTTATTTTTGTTTTCCAGTCTTTCTTTACTAGGATCTATTGATTTTCCTACCTATGGGAATGTGCGCTCATGGAAGAGACTGACAGACAGAAAGCAAGAAATCAGCCACCACCAGGAGGGTTGGACACACTGCCGTCCCTTCTCCTCCTTCACCTCTCAGGATCTTGGGCATGCATACACACGTGCTCGGTGTGAATTTCAAGTCGCCAGGTCCAGGACTTGAACCGCAATCAACTACATGGGAGTCCAGTGATTAGCCATTGTGCCATCTGCTGATCTCCCCTGGTAAATTCTCTTTGCTGTGCTCCCTCCTGCTTAATATTCATTCATTTCTTTATTTTGATTTGACCAGATAGGGACAGAGAGAAAGTGAGAAAGCAAGCCGTCCGATCTGAACTCGAACCACAGTTGGTCATGTGAGAGTCCAGCACCCCTAACCACCATGCCACATGCCAGTCTCGTTGAATAAGTAAATTTTACAAAAGCATTCTTTTTCTTTTTGGATGGATTTTTGCTATAGGGTGTGTGCATTTGCCAGAAAGACAGAGAGAGAGACAGAGACAGAAAACGAGAAATCATCTCCTGGGGGATGGCCACACGGCAATCCCTTCTCCTCTATTCTCCTCTCAAGATTTTGGGCATGCCAGCTTGCCAGCATTGAGTTTTAAGCCACTCGGTCCAGGACTCGAACTGCAGTCAACTACATGGGAGTCCAGCAATGTAGCCATTACACCATCTCCTGGTCCCCACAAAAACATTCTTGTTGGGACCAGAAGATGGCATACTGGTTAGGTCACTGGACTCCCATGTAGTTGACTGCAGTTCGAGTCCTGGACCGAGTGGCTTAAAACTCAATGCTGGCAAGCTGGCATGCCCAAAATCTTGAGAGGAGAATAGAGGAAGAATTGTGGCATGGCCATCCCCCCTGGGGGTGATTTCTCACTTTCTGTCTCTCCAGTGAGTGCACATGCCCAATAACAAAAATCTCTCTCAAAAAAGAAAATCAAGGGAACCAGCAGTTAGCGTAATGGCTATGTCACTGGACTCCCACGTAGTCGACCGTGGTTTGCATCCCGGACCCCGTGGCTTAAAACTCACGCCGGGCGCGTGTGCATGCGTGCCCAAGATCCCGAGAGGAGAATGGAGGAGAAGGGATTGCGGCGTGACCATCCCCCCTGGGGGGTGATTTCTCGCTT